ATTAAAATGTCTGAAAATAAATTATATATATATTTATTTTGTATGATTATTTTAGAAATATGTATTTTATGTAACTGTAAACATTGATTAATAATTAATCAAAATTTAATTCAAATAATACAAATTAAATTATTTTAAGTTGTTGATTATTTTATATTAGTATTTTAAATTTTAARTTTACAATTTAGCACCATGATCAATTAAATAATTAATAACCATTTAAGTTTCACTTATTAGTAAATATATTATAAACAATGTATCTAAAGTTATGTCAAGTGATGTCGTATTTGACAACCAACCTTAATAATTATCATAAAAAAGATGGGTTTAACAAAACTAATCATTTTGATTCATTCCATTGCATCAATTTATTATTACATTTTCTTAAAAGAAATTAAGTTTATACTTTAATAAATTAATTTATTACARTACAATAATTAATTTAGTAGATTATTAATAAAAATTTAATTTTGTTTTATTAATTATAAATTTAATTTAAATATTTTAACTAGTTTTAATTAATTAATTTTAATAAAATCTAAAAGAAAATTATTTTATTGGAAAGAAAAGATAGGGATATGACAAAAAATTGATAGACGAATCCATCCGAACGAAAAAAGGTGAAGAAAATCATTGTTTATAAGAATAGAGAATACCTTAGAGTAAGTTATTATTTTCAAATAAAGTCTTCAAATCTATGTTACAAACAAGCGCTTTACTTACTCATGTATATCCCCRTCTGATGATCCAACTAAATGGTCCTTGAGGTACTTACGGTAAGCACACCAAAAATCATTGAATTTTTGACAAATATAAATATGTGAGAAAGAAATACAAAATAAAAAAGAAAAATTATTTGTCAAATTTTAATTGGTAGTGAGCATTTGTAAGCACTATAGTTAAAAATAAATAATAATAAGTTAGTTGAAGCTACCGACCACGTGGACTGTGGAAGGATTCGTAGATAATTGGGGGTTGACGAGTGACGTGTTTCGTGGATGACGATGTTGTTTCATATTTGGCCACGTGTCTTGGATTAATGAATTGGGTTCTAAGGTTGTGTTTCTAATCCTTGGGAGAGGAACTTTTCTTTCTCAATTTACTTTTTTTCTTTCCACATCTATTTATAAAAGTTAAAGTGGCTTTCTCTTTCCATTGGGCCTTTTTTGTCTTGAAAATGGATTAAATTAAGGTCCCCTTAATAATTTTTTTATTTTTTATTTTCTATTTATAAGATTATATATATATGTAATCTTTTTTTTTTCTTTTAATATCTTTCAACCTTAACRACTACTTCTAAGAAGTCTCTRAACTTTAAAAAGTAGTTAAGTGATCTCTAAAATTTAAATTTTGTKTCTAATAGATCTCTGAATTTCAATTTTATGTCTAATACGTCTTTTCACCTCTTTAAAATTTTTTAAAATTTATGTACTTATTGCTACAAAATTGAGGTTAGTAGACACAAAATTCAATTTTGTACATAGTAGTTCCATGAGATTTAAAAAAAAATGTCAAATAGTTTGTGAATGACCTATTAGATACGAAATTGAAAGTTCATTGATCTATTTAATACTTTTAAAGTTTAGAGGTCCATTAGACATAGACCTAGAAGTTCAAAGACTAAATTTATAATTTAACACTCTCTTTTCTATGTTAATTATATACTTTTCACAATATTTTAGGGTCTGTTTGATAATTATTTCGTTTTTTATTCTGTTTTAAAAAATTAAGTTTGTTTGCTCACAATTTCTTTGGTATGTTTTAACCTTTCTTAAATTA